CTGCCCAGATAGGTCGCCTTATCATTGTCTAGAGTCCACACATTTTCATTTTCATTTTCATTAGCAATCACATTATTTCTTGACAAACAAGCACTTCCTCCAGCATTGCTTCATGTCTCGAAGAAAACTCATACTTTAGTAAGGCAGTGTATACCTATAGTTACGCACATCGGGATTCCAGTGTATTAATTTCATTCACATTTTGGTACATATTTAAGGGGAGATCCTACAAAAACTTATTGCAGCATCTTATTAAACATCATTTTGATACAAATGATCACAGTTATTGGTATTACCAATTCAACAAGCAGCTTTGCTTTTAATTATATTTAAGAAAGTTTTTATAATTAAATCTAATATCAAGTGTGCTTTGAGAATTCATTGTTTGGGCTCATACTATTTTCCAACTTCACATGCTCAACACATGACAATCTTTTCACATCCTGATCTCTCTATTCTGCCTCAAAAATGCTTCAAAATACACATAACATAGAACAGTAACAGGAAGACATTCAATATGAAACATTAACACATTTACATACATATCTATATATCAGTGAGTTTTGATGCAAAATGTTATGTATACATTGAGGTGAAAATCAGACCAGAAGCCCTTCGTTTTCTTGATGGCAGGGATGATGCACCAATAACAACAGAGTGTGTGAGCGATACCAGAGTGAAGCTGAGTGCTGGTATCCTACAGTCTCATACTTTTTGGAAACTTAAACCACAGAGTCACAATTGATGGAATATGGAGAAAGCATTATTTTCAGACCGTTGACCACCAAGCAATCTCAAGCTGTGCCAGGACTCCAAACGATAATATTAATACTAAACATAATCTGCAGTGATTAATTGGTATTGATGCATCTCTCAGTGCCCACATCAGAAGTCTCAACCTGGATAATTAATGCTTTCTGGTATCGCAGAGCATGGATTCTTGAGCAAAGTTTACACAGACCAAAGCAGGCAATATAACACACAGTAAGCTCTGCCATGGCCAGACCTTTTATATCCACAGTGTATTCAAACAAACACGTGAGAAAATGCAGGTCTGTGTGTGATAAATAAAAGCAAACATCAACTCCGTGCTGGCCGTCTCTCACATCAGCAAAACTCTAACAACATCAGGTACCGCATTTAAAAACGATGTCAGGTTTAGACAAACATTACTGATGGATTCACAGTGGAGATGCTCCAAAAACTAAGTGGTTACAGGAATAGTCTTTATCCACATCATAACCTGATGGCCTCGTTAAAAGGAGAGCTGCCCTCTGATGCCACGATGATGTAAACAAAGAACAAAGTGATGTTCGGATTACAGTCAGAGCACTGGAATTAAAAGCATCCTGCCTGTTGATTCCTCGACTCATTGAACTGGAGTCTTAACTTTCTACACACCTAAAAAGAAAGCACAGTGAACACTTGCATTTGCAGTAAACTCGTTTGCCTACGACATGCAAGCCTGTTCGCCACAACGTGCATAATGACAAATGGCAAGGAGCTGGTTTGGAAGACTACCCGCGGGTGGTTTAATTAAAAGCTTAAGGATGCAACATCGGCTGTTGTCTGGAGAGAGAAGACTGGTTGTGTATCATCAATCAAGGCTTACGGTGTGGAAATCAGGCGACAGTTTGTCACCTAAGGACGGAAATATCTGACAGTCAGGTGGTTCAAACCATTGAGGTCATGTGGGGTGCGAGAAGCAGCACTATTCTTGCACAGTGGTGACTGAGGATATTATCTCATCCGCTTTACAGCCGGTTGAACACGGTCGTCCGTGTAATAGCTACTTTGTCTACGGACAAAAACAGGGTTACACAGTGCAGTCCAAAAAAACATCAGAAATGAAATACACAGTATGTGTTGAATCTCCAAATGTACAATAATACCTATCTGTCTGAATGCATCTGTTAGAAAACAACTACTGTGAAAATAACATCTGCTTTATAATGATCAACCTGAAGAAGAAGAGGAGGAGAGGTCCACAAGTAATTTGAGGTAAATTTAACCTTGCAAACATTGCTACTAAATGTGTTTTCCTTGGTGGGACAACAACCACGCTACAGTGGGAGTGTTGAAGCCCATTCTTTATAAACCCAGCCTTTATGATTTGATGGAATATGCATGATGCGGATATAATTTGGGGATTTTTTTTTACTTTTTCATCCTCTTTGGACTTTGGTTAGGCTCCCTTAAGTTCTCAATGTGGCAAAAAGTTTAGTTTTTTATATTAATTCAGCAAAAATATACAATGGGTGTTGAGTATGTGCAAATATATGGCTGGTTTATGACTAAGCATGGAGTCCCTGGATTGAAAGCCAACAGCTATATGGACACTACCTACTTCCCAGTGCCTGAAGGCCTTGTTTTAAAAATGTAAGCTTAATGTTGATAATCATATAATGCATTTTATCTATGCAAGCCCCATGAGGAAAACACTGTACAGCATTCAATGCACAACGTCCCACACCATGGCTAAAAATAAGGCATTTTTCAATGGCATGACAGTGGGATATTATACCGAGAATTTTTTTTTATTATCAAGATAACCTGCCACAAATTTCTATCCGTCAAAACGGCAAAACACTATATTTCTCCCAGCCTGCAGGAGACTACTAGAGGAATATGCTACTAGGTTCACATGGCATCCATATTAGCCAAAATGTGATGCTTTCTGCTCCCTATCAAGCCAATATTTTGCACGCATGCAAAACAAAACATCTCCGTGCCACTAATTCATTTTACAGCATCTCCTGAAAGGAACAGTGATGGCTGAAGTCGGCGTTGCCCGGCACGTTTTTCCGTGGCACGTGTTTCTACATTACATAACGTGATCATGCCCCCCCCAAAGGGCTACAAGCTGTACAGAGAGCCCTGACATCAAGGCAAATTATCTAACAGCATCCCTCGCCGGGCACCTAAGGCTTACACTGTAGCCCTCACCACTTAATGTCACCACAGCGGGGCAAATATTTGAATTATTGTGGGAAATTGTTTTCAGTATCACAGCATGTGTGTAGCTGACAATGGCAGAAAATAATCATTTATAACAAGCTACAGTCATACTTAAGGTACCCGGGGATCAGTTACGCGCAAATTACGCACGCAGTTGTGCCACTGCGGACAACAAAGCTCAGATAAAGTGAATCCATCCATTCTCCCATTCCCGTGGTGGGGACATCTTGAACCGGTGGCGCCGCACTTTGTAGTTGTTCCCATTGTTATTGTCCCAGAACTCCTGCCCGCCGACACAGTATTTAATCGCAAACTGAAATGTGCCTCCGTTGTCGAGGTAGGTGGGCATGACTACCTTGAAACAGAACTTATCAGTGACACCGTCGCTGGAGTCAGGGACGTAGGACGCCAGGCTGTCCATAAATGTTATCCAGTTGTTTAGAGAATACCGTAAAGAGACGCTCTTTTCGAAAGCCAGATTCAAGACGCGCACAAACCCGGATAGGCTGAATTCATCCGTCTCCACGGTCTCCAGCATGACTTTCACCTCCCTCACTTTCTGCTCAAAGCCGGGTAGTGTGCCCGGGTTGGTGAACTGCAACTCCATAAACACAGACTGCGAGGGCGCACGGGGGAACTTTGTGTCCAAATGATTAAGATGCAGGGTTCCTTTGGGGAGTTTGGCCAATATGCGCTCCGGCACCTCTGGCTCATCTGAATCATCGAAGTGCTTCACTGAAGTGAGCTCCAGGCCCAGAGAATCTGCGAACCGGACCTTTTTCTGACTGGTTGGACTCCTGCTGCGGGAGATCTCCAACTTCGCTCTCTCTGTGGGCGTAGGCAGGGACTTGCACCTCCGACGCAGATTTGGACTCTGTGGAGGCTTCAGGAGGATCTCTCTGCCCCGGGGTCTCTCCTCCACCACGGGGCTCTCGGTGGTCTCACAGGTGCCGTTCATCATGTCATACTCTTCCCCATCTTCCAGCCGTGGGTTCGCCGCCGCCAGGCTCCCGAACAGTCCGGCTATGCAGCTGTAGTTCCTCGGCAGGCAGTTCTTTGGGGGCAGCATGACCACGACAGGACGCACAGACTCCGCTTCCATAAAACGCAGCAGTTCCTGCACTGCAGAGCCGAAGTGGTCGTGATGGGAAAAGACCGGCGTCGTGTCGAGAGACGGAGCCGTCAGGTGTCAAGTATTCCGCGCGCGGATAGGTGCTCCGGTTGCGTCACAGGTTGACACTGTCCAGCTCTGGACCAATAAACCGAGCCGTTGATGTGCGCCTTTGCTCCTGCGGATCAGTCACTATCAAATTGTGACGAAGACATTTCTGTCTCTCTTGTCATTGCGTAAATAATAAAAAGTCTTTCCTTCCGGCAGAGACCATCGCTCGTTTCCCCTTTTTTTCATGTGGTGAACATGCAGTGTCCTCTCGCAGCTGACGTGAACCTGCGCGCAGCACAGTGTGACGTCTACGTGCAGAACTGAACGTTGCAACTAACCAAAATGGTTTCCTCCTTCACAAGAGATGAACCGGTTAACTCCCCCTAACCAACCACAGTATTTATTTATAGCCTTTAGGCCTGTGTTTTTCATTGTGACACTATCACGCTGACCTGAATGACCCACAGACAACCAATAAAATGATTTTAAACACCTCATAATTAAATTTGTGGGCATTTTCTGCAGTCTGACATAACATCTTTATATTAATATCAACGTTTTCCCATCATAATCATCATATTTTAACCTATTTCACTTTATTACACTCTACTGCTTCATGCACCATCGGCTTACCGAGGGATACCGTGTAAAAATGATGTCTTATTGCATAACAGAGGTGTAATAAATCATCTGGAGGAGTGATCTGTTGCAGCATGCGCCCATCCCCTTTTCTCTACGTCACACGCCGGTGCGGCCTCTACTGGTTGCTGTGGCGACGGCGTTGCAGCTCGTCTCTAAAGGCATTCGCCGCTCCTACACTTGTGTTTGGGGAAACTCTGTCGACCGGAAAGAAAACTCAGCACGACAGGTCGCAGCAGTTGTTTGTAAATGGTGCTTCACGACATGAAGATAGTGATACAAGCCTATTTAAAATGCTGCAGGGACTCAAAGTGCTTCTTTTAGGTGAGTGGAGTTTGGTGTAACTTTGAGAGAACTCCACAGTAGGTTATTTAATATATATTCTACTTTTTAGGTGTCATCATGAGCTAACTACATAATGGAAACCTTAAAAGAAGTGGACCACAGAGCTGTGAGTGGATCAGAGGATGAGTTTCCATCACAGGAGGACGCAGTTGAGGAGCAGACTTCAGAGAGGAGACTTGTTGATGCCCTTCTAGATATCAGTGAGGAGGACTTCATGAGAGAGCTGGAGCCTTATGAGTATCACTGTTACTCTGGCTGGGAGGAAGCTGTAAGTGAATGAACAGGCTATCTTCTTACTGCAAACCTTTTTTATACTGCCGGGCTTTATCTGATTTAGTGAAGTTAGTTGTACCAACAGCAGGTGTTGGTTCTAAGTGTCTTCTGTTACAGTTTAAAGTCAGTGGCAAAGTTGTTTTTCAAATGAGAAGGAGAAATTTATAGAATATCTGCTTCAATTTATGATTAATTATACTTATGTGTTTTGATATAGCCCTTATCTATATAGTGTTTTTGATAAATTTACTCACATACCAACAGTGTTGGGCAAGTTACTCTCAAAACCTAATTTTAAAGTAATGTTACTTTACAAAATTACTCTCTGTGTAGAGTAATAAGTTACTCATTACACTACTTTTGTGTTACTTTCACCAAAATGACCTCAGAGGAACTAATAGTCATTTTTAATGGATAAGGGTCATGTTGTTACCCAGCAGGTCTGACCCAGTCATTCACATATAGTCGTTACCACTCTGTATTAAATCCCCTGCTTTCATTAATAAAAGCATGATGATAAAGGGCAAATAAATAGCCCAGACCTTTTTAAATAAATGAATAGCCTGGGACACAGCGAGGGTCAGGCAGAGGATCACAGTGTTATAATTATAAGATAGAGATAAATATCTGTGGGCCTGTGATATGAAACACACTAAACAAATATTGAGGCTAGCACAGCAAACAGAATGGCCTGCCCTGTAATCAAGTCACTATGACAAGAGCAAATTAATACACCAGAGCTGGAACGCCCACCTGCCAGTTCCCATTGTGCTGGGCAGCTACAGCAGCACTGGAGAAAGAGTTATGCATGAGGACAGGACGGTGGACATATGTGCTGATCACCAGGATGAGGAAAAAATAAACTGGAGGCCAGCTCCTTACCCCGCTACTTTCTAGTAGCCTCAGGATGCAAAAGCAGAACGGGATCTGTGTAGATGTTGCAGGTGTATTAACGTAAACACACTGAACATTTTAACGCACAGTACAGCATGACCCAGATGTGCCGATCACTGACACCCTTCTATAATGTAGCGTATATTGACATGACAATACTATAAAAACCAATATTACTTTGTTACTGCTAAAACTTTATATATTACTGTAACATGTTACCCCCAACACTCTATGCCAACATTAAAGAAATACTTCAGCCACAAAATGACAATTTGCATATCAGTTATAGGCCAGGAGCCAGGTCCAGCCCTCATGATGTTGTCTGCTACCCTTTTTTCATTATTATTTCCTGTTAGCCTGAACCTTGGGCCATCACAAGTTGATGATGAGCACCCCCAACTCAGGGCCATTTGTTCTCAGGGGTTCCTTTTTTGAGACATATTTTTGGCAAGGAGTATCCTGACACAAAGGGGAAAGTAGCAAAATAAGATTCTGGGGCCTGCTGCCATTTTATTTCAACATATCACACACAACATCCTCCCAAAAAACCTAAAATTGACTGTCCGTTTGACAAATGATCACCAAAAATGATCGTTTTTCATCACTTTGTGTTTAATATCACTGCTTCACTTGCACATAGAAAACTTCCCAAGTTGATAGGCTTCAACTTGAGCCCATGTTGACCTTTCTATCTTGAAAATAACACTTTGGCCTGAAATTAAATACCGGTATACCAGTTGTATGTATTAGTCATGGCGTGTTACTGTGAATCCGTGAAGCAAAATTTGTTTTGTTTTATTGACTCTTTGGGGACCACATTTTACAACAAATGTATATATAAACATCCATTTACAAGCTTTCACACAACTTGCACAGTATAATCCAAGTCTCATATGTCCAGTCATATGCTCGGTACTCCCCAAACACACGCATTTTCACTAAAAAAAAAAACCTTACTATTGAAGTCTGGCTTTGAAGAGAGCATTTTTCTTAATGAATACGGTAACACGGCATGACTTACTGATATACAGTACAGTCATTTTATGGGTGAAGTATGCCTTTAACATCATTTCCACTATCACTTTTAACTTTGACTTGGCACAGTAATTCCTTTGATGCATTTTCAGTGCAGACATATCAACACAGTTGTTTGCATATTTAACATTCTATTCCATTTGACCATTTGAAAACAGGTTCATGGCTGGGCCAGAGTTGCTCCACTGAGCTGCATACTTCTGCCTCAGAAGAGGAACAGGAAGCCAAAGCACAAAGAGGCTGACAACCCGATGCCCTCTGCTGTTGACCCAACAGACAGCTCCACTAGCATCTTAGAGCACCGCTGTGAGTCTCATGTGGCCCCGCATAACACCTTAAAGAAATCCATACCATTAAACCAGCACATAGGATCCTGGGGTAACACTGCTGAGGTTGCTCTGCAGAAAGATGCCTCAGAATGGCCTGTCCTCAGTGCAGTGCAGAAAACTATGGCAAATCTCATACTCAAGGAAAAGATGGAGGAGGAAGGGGCGCATCTCCCCTCAAAATACCTGGAGAACAGGCCCGCTAAGCCTCAGAAACCCAGGCACAGGCCCAATAAAACAGTTCTTCCTATTAAAAACTTCACATTTTTACCACCTATTAAATCACCACACCTGAATCCTCAGAAAGCCAGTGGCCAGCTCTGCAGTGGAAAGAAGGCTCCAGAAGGAGAAACCATAGAGGAAAGCTATTTCATGTTTGATAAGAAGAGCGGAACAAGAGTGGATCCTAATGCAAACCCAGAGCTCCCCATTTACTCTGCAGCCCTGGACTCCAAGTACTGGACATGTCCGTACAACCCCCACTTGTTCTCTGCTTTGAGTGTTTCTATCCCCAAGAGGTATCAAGTAGCTACGTCTTCCAAACCTGCCACGGTGCACCGCACTGGCTACTCAGTGGGAAAGAGCCTCACGCAGACCCTTCACTCCAGCACTGCGGCAGGTGCACAAACCCATATGCACCCCAGCAAGACTGTGTGTATGTAGTATGTTACTGTCTTCAAACTCTCAGGTACAACCAAATAAAAACATGTATATCTCACTTTGTATCGCACAGGCCTCAGCCTCACCACATCATACAGAGTTTCCATCAGAATAGTTAGCTGAAGGCTAAATCATCAAAGTAACTTATTGCAGACGTAATTCATTTGGTCTCATGTTCAGTTATTTCAGTCTGACGTAACACTGTAGAGCGTACTATGAAATGTTAAGCTCTTTATGTCATTTGGTGCTGTTTTGTTCTGACCGGTTCCCACAAGTGCTTCTTCAGCTGTTCTAGTTACCTAGCAACGGTGCAACTACCTCATAAGAAGCATGGCAGCGTGCCTGCCTCGCACTACGATGTAATCCTCAGCCACAAGCGACAAAGTGTTGCTCTGTGACTATATGTGATGATGATATTAACTGCTGCCAAACTGGTGCATCTGCTCTGTTAATGTTTTATTGTATGCAACTTTAGTTTTATATCAGTCAGTAGGCGAGGCCTGATGGCTGTGGGTAGAGATGATGGTCAGGATGGTTATGCAATGTACAGTGGTTATCAGTGCAGCATTAGTTTGATCACGCTTTATGTCAAGTTGGCCTCCAAAGGGCAGACAGTTACAGCAATATCTGATCTTTATACTTTACATTGTTATACTGCCCCTTTGTCATTTAGCTGCACTGTAAAATAAAAAAGATGTGTAGCAGGATTGTTCCACAGTATAATCAAAAGAGCTGCAGTGTTCATTTTACAAAACTTTTGTGATCCCTGAATGTGAATGTCAAATAAACTGGTTTCTTACAACTGATTTGTTGCTTATCCAGAACAAGCCAGGATTCAGAAAGATGGAACTGCATGAAGGTGAGAATATGGTAGACATGATATAATACCGTTTTGTGTTCTTTAATAAGTACTAAAGAGGTTCCACTCACCTGAAAATGGAAAAATACATATTTTTCCTCTTACCTGCTGTCTATCAATCTAAATTGTTTTGGTGTGAGTTGCAGAGTGTTGGAGACATCTGCCATAGAGATGTCTGCCTTCTCTTGAATGAAATGCAAGTGGATGGCACTCAGCATGTGTCTCAAAGCGCCAACTCAACTCAGCAGCAATGTCTCTTGAGCAGTTTCATGTAGGAACTATTTTCCTTCTACCTGTGTAGGAATTTGTGCACTCAAACAGTCTGACGATTTAAAGGGGTAATTATTAGTTATTGTCATTCACAACTCAAATATAAATTAAGCTTTCAATTTACTGGTCCATCTGCGTCCCAACCCTCACCTATGGTCATGAGCTCTGGGTAGTGACCGAAAGAATGCGATCGTGGATACAAGCGGCTGAAATGAGTTTCCTCTATGGATTGGAGCTTGGACATCCTGAAAGAGCTCGGAGTAGAACCGCTGCTCCTTTGTGTAGAAAGGGGTCAGTTGAGGTGCTTCAGGCATTTGATCAGGATGCCTCCTAGGCGCCTCCTGCTGGAGGTGTTTCGGGCACATCCCACAGGTAGGAGGCCCCGGGCCAGACCCAGAACGCGCTAGAGGGATTGCATATCTCATCTGGCCTGAGAACACCTTGGGGTCCACCAGGGGGAGCTGGAAAGTGTTGCTGGGGAGAGGGACGTCTGGGGTGCTTTGCTTGGCCTGCTGCCCCCACGACCCAGCCTCGGATAAGTGGATGAAAATGGATGGGTGTTTGCAGGATACTGTAAATCTCCCTAATGTCTTGTTGTCGAGCATTCTTGGGGGATTGAAGAAAGAGCCAGTCCTTGTAGCTTGAAGGTTGTACTGTCTGCATTAGAAACATGAGGAGACTTTCTCCTCAACCTGCCAACCGTGTCACTGCGCAGAAGGAATTGTGCACCTACTCATGGACGAGAGGCTTGTGCTTGCGACAGTGCAAGTTGGAAACATTGATGGTATCCTTTGCTGAGTTGTAACGATAGCTAACGCAGTGGTGCTACATGAGCTAGCAGTAGATGCACGTTTCCTTCTGTGCTGCGATACAGTATGCATTTCTGATTTTGGGAAGAACTGTCTGTTAAATTCAGCTCTCAGTTTCTGATTTTAGCACAGGAGAACAGATTTAATGCACATTGAAGAAAGTATCACCAAATTATCCATGTATTTTATTCCACTATGCTGAACTGAGAGCTGAATTAAAGGAGCAAGCTGACTGATTCGGGTGTGTGAACCCTTTCTGTACTTTTTGGACACAGATTGTGGTTACACATACGACTGCTCTCTGTTTTTTTCCTTCCACCTTTGCTCTAAAATAAGTGACAAGGAGCACAATATACACTTTCCAGCAGTTTATTAAGAACATCTGTAGTGTAGCTTCAACAATTAATCAAGGCAACCATTAACTCTACACATATAGGCAACAGAAACTCAAATTCTGCTAAAACAAATATTTTGTGCTGGGAAAATATCTGCATGCATTCCCTACTGAGAGAAAATAAAGCACTGTAACTGACACTTGAGACTGACTAGGCTTCTCTCTACACACAGCTCTGTTTAATCCAAGGCATTTTCCTGTTCATCTAAACCAGCAGGGACCACCTGAATTCAAGAACCACAAACTAGAAGTCGCTACTAATCTCGATACGACAAATTTTGAAATTTATGAGTCAAAATAGAGCATGTTATACTTGGGCACAGTGTCATGTTCTGTACATTCTTCAGTTCCTACAAATATCTATAAACTGTAACAGCATTAACCATCTGTCAATAAAAACAGTGAGATGGCATTCTTTTTTTTCAGTAAAATGCTGCATAGCATTATTTTCATGTGACAGAACAGAAATTTTTCTATAGAAATCATAGAGAACAATTAGGGACACTCCAATATTCCATGCAAATGTGATGAGAATACCAATACAGAGTGGATTAAACATGCAAAGCTAAGACCGAAAGGATTATGACAGTTTTCCAGTGTTCATTATCCAAAGCATATTCTGACAATTAGTAATTATACTGAAGCAGCAAATTGTAGCAAATACTTGGGTTAAGGCACCAACGTAACAAAACGAACAAAGGATCAAGGCCTGTAGCTCTAGGTTCCCCAGTAGAACTCAGTCTGCATGTGGTGCCTGCGCTTAATGAGGTAACTCGGTGCAACAGCTCAAAACAAAATCAAAACATCAACTTTAGTTTCTTGGAGAAGAGATAAAAATATAACAATAAATTAAAATACTGCGTTCGAATGTTAAGAGTGGAAAGTATGATGATTGTAACAGAAGATAACCAACAGGACTTCTTTCAGTCAAAATCAGGTGTTGAATACGAACAATAGCTCCGTGCTAATCCTTGCGCTAATCCACTATACACTTCTGTACAGTAAAATTACTGGATCACTTTAGCACAGAGCTCTGCTACTGTATACACTTACACCCAGCTAATGAATAAGTCAAAGACGTTGACAGCCTAGTCTGCTTACTGACTCGAACTGACTGCTTCGCTATAGAGGCCCAGACACAAAGAGTGTTTACACAACATCAAACTTCACAATCACATTTCAATGAAAGGTGCGTAACAACTGACAAGACATGAACTACTCGTTTTTACTTGTGCCACAACTGTAAGAGTAATGGTATGTTTCAGAGATACATCTTAACGACTTTGAGCAATGCCTTGTTCACTGTTTAAGGTTTTATCTTGGAAATCATAAAGCTGATATCTTCGCACTGGTCAAGTGTTTCACTGGCTGCAAAGCTTGCACGATGTATTCAGAGTTAACAGTCTCACTGCAGCTGACAACGCAACATCAATGAGGCAGCCATTCGATGCACAAGCAGAGGACAGATGTTTTACGCTTCAGTGCTGCTGACCAGTTGAAGGCTTCATGCACGTTTACAAACCTACACGTTAACTAAATGCACAATGTTTGCTTGTGTACATCTGAGATGAAACTTCTCATGCAGTATATGCATATCTGAAAGCTGTCATACAGGGTAACAATTTCATAAGCCTTTTCTTGACAGCCACACACAGCTAAAGATGTTATCCCTTTTATGTGCAGATCTAACACTGATGAAATGTTAAGTCGTTTTTAAACTGCTAGTAAGACCAAACAGTGAAAACCAGTCACAGTGGCTATACACTGAAATATAGAAGTAAACTGGCATTTCAGACAAGACACATATAATATGTTACTTTATGTGCAAATAAATATGTAAACTGTCACAGGAGCTGATTGATCATGCCCATTGAGCTAATAAAGTGCACCAGAGCTGTCAGGATATACACCTGGAAAGGCTCTGAACATGACGTCTCCAGTGGAATGTTCAAAAACATTTTCACAGACTTCTTTGTGCCGAGACTGTGGTCTGCTGGAGGACAGTGTAGACTGATTCCTCTCATAGGAACAGACATGAGAAACCTGTACTGCAAAAGGTTAGGCAGCTTCACCAGGAGGCCTTCAGCTGTTGGGTTTTTCAGGGTGCTGAAAGAGAGCACAAAGCTCCTCACATGTCTGAGTTTCCACAGAGCTGAAATGGGACTCCATGTTCCACGCCAGGTCCGCTGACAAGAAGTCATCCATGACAGTTTGTGTTTCGTTGCTCGTTAGGAAGAGGTGTCCCAGCCCTTCAGCCTGGCTGGTCACAGTCTGTGTCTCTGTGCTGTTCAGCAGCCTTGCGTGCTCGCCCTGACTCACAGGAGCCTGAGCAGAGAGACCCGTGGCAAATGAGGGGAGATCTGTCTGTGTTTCTGTGTCTGAGGACTCTGTGCTCATAGAAAAGCTTGAATGTCGTAGTATGCTGCTCAGGGGCATGTGGCTTCCTGCGTTTAGCAGGAAATTGAGGTCAGTCTGAGTCTGTGTATCGAATAGCTCCAGATCGCTGGCTTGGGTTCGACTTGGTCCCTCACTTTGGTCCAGTTCATCCATCAGGAGGAAGTCCGTCTGGGTCTGGATGTCCAGAGACTCAAGCGGAGTGTCACCGCTCAATCCTCCCAGCTCGCTCTCCTCTGTCTGTGTCTGGATGTGCACAGCACTGAGAAACTCTTCAAAGTCAAAGTCAATGCCGTTGTGGTGCTCCTGAACAGATCCCAGACCTGACCCACAGCCTGCAGAGGTCTCTGTGAGCACCTGGTGGCCCGACATGCTGTCAGACAGAATATTTTCTAGATCATTTAACAAGGTCATTGTTTGGGTCTGGTTATCTGCCATGTTGTTGGAGTTAAGCTCGTCTGTCTGCACCCCAAAACACATACCACCAGCTGACTTTGAGTCCTCGTACAAACTGCTTCCTGCAGCAGTGAGGGTGTCATCTATCTCCAGGGCAGTCTGGGTGGATACACTGAGAGAGTCACTGCCAAATAGCTCAGAGCACATTATAGCCTGGTCCTGAGCCTTCTCGTCTGACTGTGGTATGGCAAAATATGTCTGTGTCTGCCTGGTTCTGAACGGGGGCACAGATGAGGAGGAGCAAGGAATTTGACTCGTGCACTGGCTGTCTGTCTGAGCTCCAATAGAGGATGTAGCTTTGGCCCGGGAGGAGAATGTCTGGGTTTCAACACTGATTGGCAAGAGGACTTGGGCACTCACACTAATGTCTGTCTGGGAGCAGGATGACACGGAGGACTCACCCACAGAGCACAGCCCCATTCCCTCCCCTACTCCCATTCCTGTGGGCATTTTTGACAAGTATGATTTATCTGTCTGAATGTTGGTGGAGGTGCTTCTTCCCCGTGCCAGACCGGCTGAGTCATCTGTGCCAGCAGGGTCCAGACTGACCTGCACGCCTGTGCTAACTGGCCCCAGGCTGGAGCGGGAAGTAGGCATGCTATCCTTGAAACCCAAACTCTTAGCATCAAGCTGGGGGACCACAGCCCCCATGGCTTGCGGCAGGAGGTGAAGGGTGCTGACAGAGCCTTGGCTGTCTACTGCCAGCACTACGGACCTCAGAGCCCCGCTTTCTGTAGACGGAAGGAGGACAGGCAGGTGGGCCAGCTGCATCACAGGAACGCTGACCAGAGCCATCTTCGGCTTCGGCAGGAGCAACTTCTGGGGGCTCTTACGAGCGTTGGAGATCTGATTCACTGAGTCTGTGTTATGAATAGTCGTATCAGAAGGGAGCGCAGTCTCTGTAGGCTCTTTACTGGCGGGCATGATCTGACAGCTTGACTCATGGATCTTGACCTTTTCAGCAGCGCTTAATAGTTTCTCCATCTTTCGCTTTTTTACTGGAGGAATTCTGTTAAGAAACAAAACATACAGAGAAAATCAGCCACATTAATCTTTAGTTAAAGCAAAGTTTTGATACAAATCACCCTGGGCTGTGCAGGTACATACCTGTGTTCTGTAGGAATCTCGTGACCTGTCCTGTAGATATGCGAGAGGAGTGCGGCCCTACTAGCATAGGGGCAGCCACATGTACAATGGTAGGTTTTCCCACAGTCTTCTATGTGCCTCTTTAGGTCCCACTCTGTGCTGTAGCCATTGTTGCACTTGAAGCACTTGTGTTTCTTCTCTGCATGCATCTTCATGAAGTGCTGCAATCAAACACATCAATGAATAAATTGCATATTTCTTTTCTTTGTATTTCACTTTTGAAGTTGGCTTATTTTTTCCAAGTAACAACTGGTCTCAGAATTGCGAGAGGGGTTAATTATTTAAGATGATTTTACTCAGTACAAGTAGGCTTATAAATCATGCAAACAGTATTTAGCATTTATTAACACATGGCTGTAAAAAAGTATTCAGGTATGAATAAACTCTACCAGTATTACACAACTCCTGTAAAATTGATTTTTGTAATGCATTTGGTGCTGAGTGACACATTAGGAGCTATTCTACAGAGTTGAGACCTCACTACTTTACTCTACTGACGGCATGGATAGGATTACAGATCACAGGAAGAAAAGGCTTACTTGTTTAACCAGGGAGAACTGGGAGAAAGGTCTGTTTGGCCCCCTGGGACAACCCTCGATTGGACAGCAGTACAGCTTCTGAGAGCCCTTCATGTCCTTTCTGACCGTGGGATTGACAATACCATCCTGAGGGGGACGATACCAGTGAAAGACAACAAGAGAGGAGAGAGCAGAGAAATATTTGCAATATCAGCATGGCTTACAGTGAGTGTTAAAGAATTAAAAAATACCAGAAATTCCTTGATCACCATAAATACAAGCAACCAAGAGAAAGACCTGTAGTGGTTTCAGGTTATTTTAAGAGACTGAGCTAAGTTTTAAGTAAGCAATCGAATGACGGTTTTACACCGCGTGATTTTTCAAGTCATTTCACTGTCACAGACAAATTTCCAATGTCGGGATAAAAACATAAGGTGGTCATAAAACTCAGTACGAGCTGTTTTCAGGCAGTCTTTGTGTCTTGCTGTTCTGACAAAATTAAAACATGTTTAATATTATCCATCCACCCATCCATTTTCATCCACTTATCTGGGGCCAAGTCATGGGGGCAGCAGACCTAGCAAAGCACCCCAGACGTCCCTCTCCCCAACAACGCTTTCTAGCTCCTCCTGGGGGATCTCAAGGCGTTCCCAGGCCAGATGAGATATGTAGTCCCTCCAGCATGTCCCTCCTACCAGTGGGACATACCCGAAACTCCTCAAACGGGGGCATCCTGATGAGATGCCCGAACCACCTCAACTGACCCCTTTCGACGCAAAGGAGCAGCAGCTCTACTCAGAGCTCCCTCCGGATGTCCACGCTCCTTACCCTATCTCTCAGGCTGAGCCCAGAGGAAATTCCTTTCAGCCACTTGCATCCGCGATCTCTCCTTTCAGTCTCTAAATATTAATATTGTTAATTATTATTATCATTATTTATATTATCTTAACTTTATAATCTTGGCTTGAGAAAATAGTGAAAAATAGGTGTGTTGTCTCCAGCACTAAGCAAGAAGCAAACCGGGCAGACAGTAAAACATGGAGGGGACTCCGGGGAGGAGCAAGAATGTAAACAAGTTTTGGGCGCTCCTTGACTGCAGAAAGGGAGGAGTGTAAACAAGTGTCGTTATTTAATTCGGCCTGTATCTGATCCAACAGCCAGCACTTATTTTAGTGAGATATACTCATGTTTAAAACAGATTGCCTCTCATCCCCAGTCTTCTCCAACTAAAATAAGACAGCTAATCAATAGAGGCTGGTGGCGAGGTGAGGCGACAAAATCTAAAATGTAAAGTTTGTACACAAATATAGTATATTTTTACAGTGAAATTACAGTTGTGACGTCAACATGATGCCTTTATATGTTGTGTTTCCAGAGTTATGTGTTTTTGCAGACATGTAAAGATTTGTTAATATGACATATTCCTTAAAGTGAGTTTGTCGTGATATTTTCCACCAGGAGCAGGGTGGGAAATAATCTCACAAGAGATCTAGTTGTAGTCTTGCAAATAGTGACTCTGCAAAATCCCCAGTCTTTGCAAAATCTTATGGTGGTGTAGCTAATAAGCAACATTGTCCTAAGGTGTGAGAGGGTGTCAGACTTTTGTCTTTAAAAAATTTGTTTTGTTTTTTTTAAATCTTGTAGTGTGTGGTAGGCATAACAGGTTCTCCTTGTGACTGACAATCAAGATTTAAGCTGATAAAGTCAGGTTTTACTCGACAGAAAATAGTTCTTACGGTAACTGCTATAAAAGACACTCAATGTCAACTACACTGTACACCGAAAACTACAAAATGTTTGGTTTTTTTATACCAAGTTTTATTCATATTTCAAAGGCATCATCATGACTACAGATAATAAAAGTGATGGTTGTACATTGCCTTGCTCTCCTTAGTCAGTGCAGGTAAATATTATGTGAATTTATAAAAAAGTCACATCTCTGCAGTCGGCTCTGCTCTACATAACTGGAAAAAAAAAATTAGTGAGCTTGGCAGTGCATGGGATGTAAACATTTGCAGCACCACTGCTCCTCTTTTAGTCCTAAGGCAGACTTGCTAAATCAGCTATCATCATAATGTATATTCAGAGTCAATGGACAGCACATCTATCACAGAAAACAGCGCCTGCACTGAATGTATGTTGCACGGTAAAAGCAGACAAAGCCATCACGCTCCATAGCAGTCATTAATACTGCAGTCTTCCAGTGGTCAAGGTCACCTCCATCTGTCGTAATACTTAAGGGAGCAGAACAGCCAAAGCTGACAAACACCCTCTGGTTTATCATGAGGAGTTAGCTTAAAGAGACATTCGCTAAAAATGAATATTCTTGTGGCTGGCTTCGACTACGTCATCTGGTCATAAGCCTGAGTCATGTCAAGACATTATTAGTCATCAGTCAGTGGCTGGCTGTAGCCCAAAAGAGAGAGCAAGCCAATATTCACTGACCTCTCCACACCAGGGTCGGCCCACAGCCTTTTAAGTGGCCATTGCTGAGGTTGATTCCCTTTTTTTCTAGGAGACTGCGCAACACAGTAAGTCAAGTAATAGCCCGATCCTGCTCCTTTATGCTGCTGAGGTCAGTGATGGATGACGGACAGCTCAAAGCCACGCCAAGAACAGTTACATTAAACTTATGAAAGGAGTCTGAGGTGGGCTGAGTAAACGAGTTCAAATGTAATGCATCAGTCTTCATGACCGGAGAGAAACAGATCGGAGTGAGTGATCAGCAATACATTACTGCTGTGCAATGATGCAGTAGAGCCACAGGGGTGTTTAAGTGGATGAAACACACATGGTGCCCCATTCCATGCCTCAATCTTGCAGTCGGACTTGATGAATAAGGCAAAGGGGGCCTACAGCGTTTGAGAACTTCATCATCATGTCAATCAGAATATCATTACTACTGCTGACTGGTGTTTTACACAGATGTGGATTAAAAATAACATGCTGCTCCCTTCATTTTCTCTCCTTGCACCCTTTGAAGGTGCAATCTGTGATGCAAGTGTGGCTGAGCAATGAAAAATCTGCTTTGAACACAGTTACTGACATGTTATAAAACATAAACAGTAACTAAACACACACGATCAAAGTTTCCCGACGCTCTTAAAGGTCTGTTTACATCAGTAATATTTAGGCACTGATGTAAAAAACAGTCTATATTTAAACTGCACCCCAGACATCCCTCTCCCCAGTGACGCTTTCCAGCTCCTCCAGGGGGACCTAAAGGTGTTTCCAGGCCAGATGAGATATGTAATTCCTCCTGGGTGTTTTGGATCAACCCCAGGGCCTCCTACCTCCTACCCAAACTTTCAAATACACCTCAGTGTGGCTCAAATTTATCTGGTAGAGCCACCAACCGGACCTTTAAACACCCTTCCAGCTGGGCCACATGAACTACTTCCAAAAGCTCATTCAAATTCTCACAATCACCTATTTTAAACAAAGAGCTTAGTCTATTGCAGGACAAAAGGCAGCCTTTCCCAGCAAAGAACTTCATTCATAGAGGGGAAACAGTGAATTACTGCCTCCCATGAAAAAGCCCAGTCCAGTGAGGACATATAAACCAGGGTCAGAAGTAGACTTTAGTCCAAATGCTTTGCCTGCCTTTAACTTTGCTGGTAATGGTAGTTGGCTGACTGTGTATTAGATGCAGAGAATCAGCAGTGCTCCAGTGGAAGAGACCCTCACCATCATCTTCACATGATAACCTGATTTATCCCATCACACACTAATTTAGCACTGCCAAATCAGATAATCAGTGCAGCAGGCGAAATGTAACGCATGTAAGTAGGCGGTGTGGACTGCTGTGGGCAGCCAATGCAGTAATCAATCATCACGTGTGATCCACATTATTAATTGGTAACATAAGTAACGTTAGCAAGTTAGCTAGCTTGCTAACCACACACGTTACTGATTAAACTACGGAGCTTCACTCTCGTGACAGTGAACTTTTACCTACGGTTACCGAATACTGCCGTGTTCGCTAAGCATCTCTACTATGTGTTAACGTTAGCTAAACCGAGCTTGTTGTGGATGACTTGCGTTTTCCAGTTTCATGACAGCGAACCTACGATAATGCGCTAGCTAAGTTAGCATCGCGGCTACCTGAACACCTAAACATATATACTTGCTAATTACCTTTATCCTGTGTGACTTGACGAGATGCATGTTCAATGCAGGTGTGTTGGGGAGAATCTTGCCACATCCCTCCACGGTGCAGAGGATGTTCGTCCTCACTTCTTTGGTCAGCTCCGTGACGGTGGGCTTTATTATTTCCCGGGACTGCGACAAAGACTCTTCGTGACATTTCGGACTGTCCGCCGTGGCGTTATCTCTGTTATTCATCTTGCTTGTCGCAGAGGCAGCCATGTTTCTGTGTTGACAGTCCATTTGTGTTTGGCAGAGAGCCCCAGCAGCAGCATTGAATGAGTGGTAGCATTGCAACCCTCAGCTTTGCCTGAAAGGCTAGTTTGCTACCTTCCACAAATAGGACGGCTGGGACAGAGCCCATACGTCACATCCGCTATAAAGCGGTACTTCCGTTTAACAAAATAAAGTTTTCTAACGTAGCTAATTTCCTATTATATATGTATATTCCTGTGTTTTTGTAGTATTGTTGTATGTCACACATACCGTAAAACTTCAATTAATAGCCTGGGCTATTATTTTTATTTGAATAACTGAAATCAACAGTCCCTTATATGGGACAGGCCTTTAAATCTTTTCACAAAATTGTTGCACAGCAAAGATCAAAATCATCAATCAAGATCAATCAAATTGTTTTATTTTATACCAGTGTGAATATTACCTGTTTAAAAATTCGGCTTAAAATAATATATCAGTTATGCATTATTCATTTGATCTAGTTCTGATAGACAGCATTGGAGAAAGAGAAAAGAGTTACAGCACTTTAGGATTACATTTGATTAAAACATTATTAGAACTTGTAGGTAACGTTAGCCACGGTTGTGAGAACATTCCCTGCTACCCGGGCTGTGAAGTGGTCATAGTGGGTGGAAAAGAACTTCTGAGTTTGTAAGATACCCACTTGATTCAGCTAACTCAGGCTGCTGATGCCTCATATTAGCTGTAGCTGAACTGGAATATATTTTTGAGCAAAATAAGGACTGTGGATTTTGAATCATATCTCTCACGGCCAGAATACATGTGGCACAGACATGGTGCGACATATCTGCTGCAAACAGAGTGCATCCATTATATCAACTAAAGCTGCTACACTGACCACCATTGCATGGCTCAATGCTATTTTCATACAGCTAGTCTATTTTTTTCTTCTATGAACTGTATAAAAAAGCAAGTACAGTCTGTTTAAACGTGATTAAATTAAATAGCCCATTGTATCAGGGCAATACAACACAGAAAAACAGCCTTGTGGGTGTATTTACATTTCACATTAAAATTAAGTCAAATCAATACATCCTGTTGGTAAATGATCCAGTTAATGAATTCAGTATCAGTTAATATAGCATACACCTCTAAATCTGCGTAACTAACTGCATTATCACTTTGGCAAAACTCACATGTACACAGCTGGAACACCACTACATGCTACAAAGACAGAGTATGTGTAGCAGGTAAAAGAAACCCGCTTCTCCCTGCCCACATGATGCTGTGCATGTGTGTGGAAGGGATCTCTTTGCAGTCAGAATGGGCCAGTAACTCTTTAAATGTATGTGCAGGCATGTGAGTATAGTTTTAAGATGAACTTGTAAGAATGTGAAACTATCCTTTAAATGGTTTGTGCACAGGCCAGAGAGTTTTAATGAACCCTGAAACAAGAGCTGTAAATGCCAACTTATTAAGAGCCGATTTACTCACACTCACTTCCACCAGACCTACCACAAGCAAAAACTCCACATATCTTTGTTTCACTGCAAGTAATGGAACAAAAACTTCAAGAATATTATAAATCCTGCTTTTATATTCAGTTTGGACAAATAAAACATTTAATGGCAGAAACATTCTGCCACCTAAATACCAGCAAAAGATAATACAATGGCAATTATATATTGCCAATTTATTTACAACTGTAAGCACATAAAGACACATTAATTCATTCTGAAATCCCAGGAGCCACCGCTACTCAGGAGCTAGGTTAACAAGGGGATCAGTGACAGAATGGTAAAAGCAAACTATTGATGGATTAGACGTGACACGCCACCATGTGAACCTAGCACTTATCAGTTCTGTGGTTGCCTTGTTTGTGAGGAGGGACCAGGTCCATTGTCTGTGATGACAAAATAATTCCTTCCTTTTAGGGGAATAGATGAGAGCAGAGGTGTGACAGGGGTGGAGGCGATTCCTGTAAAATTTAACAATACATTCAATTAGTTGAACTGACTTCAAGAACGAAACTATAATAACAATTACTTATGAATGTGTTGGTGTGATATAAAATGTCAGAAATAATAATTCAGGCACTGAGGGTTAAAAAAACACTTACACAGACTGTGACATATTCATGATGAATAATATTGTGAGATACAGCATTTCCTCTGTGTATATGCATGTGTATGTTTGTGCCCTCTTGTGGTCATTTATGGGATTGCGAGGATTATGAACCATTCAAAATCATTTACTGTTTTACTGATTTACAGTATTAGTATAAAGTTTTCTTCCCAAAATGCAAGTGTCTGTAGCTAACATAGTCTTGGTACCTGAAGATGCACAGTGTCTGAGTGACTCCAGGAGGTTGGTGCTTGCAAATTTGACAACACATCTGAAAGGCTCCTCTCGCTCTGTCATGGTCTTGTTGGTGTGGTCTCTGAATTTTGTCTCCAGCTGAGAAAAGAACATAACACATAAATCAGATGATCACAGCACAGGGTAATACAGAAACCATTTGCATTTTAACTGATATGGTGACACAGAAACTTACATTATTTGTTTCTTTGACATTGATATCTAACTATTAAAAGTGAAATACTGAAACTCAGTACTCTAAAACATGAGCATGTCTCAGGATACCTTGTAAACCGCCGACTGTAGCTGAGGCAACATCCCACCACCGAAGGCCTCAGAAGCCATCTGAAGTCTGTTTGCTGCAGACTCTGCTTGTTCTCTCTCTATGTGTGGGTCTGTAGATAGAAAGAAAGACAAATAAATAAAATAACAATGCACATTAGGTCCACGTTAATGCCAATACATTAAGCTCAATAAACAATTCTTAAGTACGTGTGACATTATATAAAACTATTAAAGTGGCTTTGGTCAGATCAAATGATTTAACAAACATACTTGAGGCAGTCTCGTTGTTTTCTTTAAGGGGGCTGGGATACTTGGTGGGAAACACCTACAAAAAAAAAAAAAAAAAAAAACACTGTCAGAATCCACCCAAAAACAAAATTCACAATATACATCAGTTCAATCTTTTCAAACTATCGTTCATGGTCTTTTTTTTTTTTTTATTCAATTATGAGCAACCCCTCATCAAGGGCTTTAATAACTTAATATTTAGCTAAGAGTTCCTCTTTGTTCAGTGGCTCTACTGACACAAACTGTGACATCATGTAGTCACAGACATTTTGTTGGTATTATTAGGCCATAAAAAGTGATGGTATGGTAATGACATGATAATTCTGACCATAGCAAACCAACTAGACAACCTCCACTGAATTTTATCACCTAAACCAGTGGTTTTCAAAGCAAGCCAAAATCTCAAGGCACACCTGTATTTTTATCTGTGCACAATAGCTTCTATAATGTGTGTTATCACTCTTATCACGACCAAAGACAATAAAAATAAGAAAAAAATAAGACGGGCAGCCTTCGTGACACTGTCTCCTGACAGGTTTTTTCTCTTTTCTTTCTGTGGTAGGTCGTCTTTACTGGTGCTTTGTTGTAATTTGCTCTGTATAATAAAGCGATCAATTGTCCCACTCACAGCTTTCTCCTTTTAAATGTCATCATCCCTCACACTGGCTGCCAATCAGGGCTCTTGATGTGTCACACTTATAAATCCCACGCCAACAGCAACAAATAGGCTCCCTGTGAAGGTTTTGTAAATTCACTTAAATTGCATTTTCAGCTAGAGTTTGCCTCTTTATCAGGAAATTGGTGCGCACAACATACTGATACAGTCAACTTTAAATACATTCATAACTTTTTGTATAGGCCCAGCTCAATATTGCAATAATATTGTATGGTTATCACAAAATCCCCCGGCACACTTGGACTGGCATCATGGCACACCAGTGTGGCGCAGCACACCATTTGAGAACCACTGACCTAAACCACTCAGCTGACATTGAATATATTGCAAAACTCACGAAAAGAATCGGAGTGCAAAGGTCAAACTCGAACCAGGAAGTAGTTCAGCATCATGATTGACATTTACAATCAATATACTCTAACACCTTAGATAGAACTTCCCTTTAATGGCAAACATCTAATCAGAGTTGACTACAATGTGTGATACTTTTCACAGTTCATTGTTAGGGTTGTAAAAATGTTGTGTTATCATATTAAACACAGAGAACAAGAGAAAGGTAAAGTTTTAAGTGTAGTTGCAGTGCACTAAGGGTGAACTTGGCATTGTACATTTTTCCTCAGCTGGTGGTCATCAAGCTGAATTATATAATAAAGATAATTTTACTCCAAAATCAGACACTCTTCAGTACACGATGGCAGAGTTTAGTGATGAGGCAATTATAAACACTCCTGCACAGTGCTTATCAGGAATCTTTGATTCAGTGGGGAAGACAGGGCAAAGCTTTGTATGGTGTGTGTAGTTAGCAATGTCTTACCTGTTCATATTGCCTCATCAGCAGGTCCCTGATGGCACTGAGCTTCCGTCCACTGAGGTTAGCATCTTTGACAGCTTGATGTCTGGTGGACAGAACCAAGGCCTGCAAAGTACATCACTTTCTTAGAGGGAAATGGAAAGACAGAAAAAACCACTGTGCAAACAATGTCATGGATTGTTAAACTCAATCCTCACCTGGGATAACAGGGGCTTTTGCTTTGAGGTCAGGGTTGTCACAAAGACATAAGGGGTTTGAAGATAGTGAACAACATATGTCGGTTTCAGGTGGTTGGGCCGAGAAAATGTGTCTCCCCACGCAATCCGAATCCATACAGCTTCATCTGTGTGCTTCTTTATCTTGATGGACACCTTGAATGCAACGTCAAAAGCAGAGTGTTAAACACAGAGAAGCCCATACAACGTCTCCCAATGATGCAACTCTAGAATTGGTAAGATTTTCTAACTTACATGTTTAACGAGCTCTTTGAGGTGAGATTTAAATTGTTCCTTGAACTGTGTCAGCTCTACAGAAGGAGCATCATCTGGGAAACAGAAAATGGTACAATACATACATTCAAGGGACAATATGGATTTGATCAAGGAAACTCAACTTCACCAAAACAGTTTTTGATTTCCTGGAACAAGCAGATAAAGAATACATGTGACACAGGGATAAAATGTGCAAAAATGTTACCTGTGCTTTATAACCTTATAACAGTTGAATAACAATCTTTCAAATAAAAACAAAGCCCTGATCCCAGCAGCAGCTGTGGTGTTAGGTTAGCATGAAAAGCAGCTGAATGCTGTTTCAACATACCGTCAGGGTCCATGAGCTGGAAAGCATACCACATTCCCTGGTTTGGATTGTCCATGACATCTGAGAGATAATGACACCATAAGTGTTAGTGGATTGGCAGTGTATGATTATGGTTAGCTAGGCTGCCTTGGCCAAAATCATTTCACTTGACTTACAGATCATCTCCAGTTCTGTGAGGTGTTTAAGTGCACACTCATTTTCCTGTACAAATAAAAAGACAGGTTAAGAGACAGGTAATCCACAACAACATTAGCGGTTAAGTGCTGTGCAACGATGGGTTTCACGGTCCACTTCAGCGACCATTTTGATAGAGAACATGCTGTTAACTAACGTTAGCTACCAGGTTGCTAATTTTTATACACTTACTATTTAAAACATCAACTTTTTGAGAAAAAGTACCACTTACCTCGCAAATGGCGAGCAGTCTTTCCGTTAACGCCCACTTCGACAGAGTATAATCCATGGACTGCTGCTGGGCCCGAGTCAAACGGCCCCACTTGTCCAGCGTTGTTCTCAACATCTGACTCGGTATCCGTCTGACGAGTCGCTGCAGTAAGCGCTTCATAGAGTCATCCATTGTTCCTCGGACAGTAAGTATATCGAGCTTCGTTGCTGTATTAGAAGATAGTTTCCGTTAGTTTTAAGGAGTTGGCTCCGTCCACTTCGCACTATGGCAGAAGAACAATTCCAAACAAACCGCCTACAACAGAACACACAAATCGACCAATCAGATGCTTCCAGAAAATCTGACGCACTTCCTGTAGCGCCCTCTGCTGTGCTGGAGTGATATTACCTCTAGCACTGTCGCTGCGTTTTTCTTTTCTTCTCTTTTCTTTTCGTATTAATCATATTTATTGAGAATGTACAGAACATCCTTGACAACACTCAAATTTATTAGGTACTAGGCAGTGCAAAGAAATAGCAAAGGACAATAATCTATGTTTGATTTTCTTGTAAACTATTGATAATTTGAACAGTTATTTAAATAAAAGCACATGAGAAGTTTGGGGGGGAAGTCAGTCTTCTCCATCAGTGTTAAAGGAATGCTTAACCCACAAAATGACCATTTGTATATCCATAAATCATGCCGTGTCACCTTGAATTTGTGGAGAGAACTTTGCTCTTCTTGCATCCCTCCATGTCGTGAAGATATTGATCTACTGATTGATTGGAGACCAAATTTAACAAAAGCAAAACTTAATCACAACATCCGTTAAGACATTTTAAACTTGTGCAGTATAATCTTAGTCTCATGTATCCAGTTGTATGCCCAGTCATATATTTGTTTTGTTTTATTTTGTTTTTTTGTTAATGATATTTATTGAGAATGCACAGAACATCTTTGGCAACAATCACATGTATTAAGTACAGGGCAGTGCAAAGAAATTAACAAAGCGAACAGAAGTATATAAATAAATGTGAACATCTCATAATGCAGCCAAGGTTAAAAAATGATTACAAAGGAAGTGCTTTTAACTGTAAATTGAAATTAAACTGTTCATTTTCGCTTAAAACGTACTTAAAAATGAATTAAAAGTGACACTTATTTCGCTCCCTTCAAAGCCAGACTCCAATATAAGTTTTTGCTATAGATGTTTTTGTTTTGCAGAAATGCATGTGATGGAAATCCTGAGCATACAACTGGATAAATGAGACATGGATTATACTGCACACGTTTTGTAACAGTTTGTAAACTGATGTTTTGATACAGTCCATCTTTAATCAATATGTTTATAGTTTTCATGGAGATATGCGAGAAAAACTTTTTCGCTAAAGCTCATAGAAAATGCAGTATGTTAACAAACATACAGTAAACATCTCACTTAAGTTCAGTCACCATGACACCAATTACTAATGTAAGTTAAGATCACAATGGACCCTTTGTCCAGTAGGCTTAAACAGTGCAGCAGCACTGAGCTATAGCTGAGGTATCTTCTGCATTAGGTTGAGACAAAAAAAGTAAACCACATATGAAATGACAGAACAGGGGCAGGGCTATCTCAAATTAATTTAAAAATATCTAGTAGGCCTAATGAAAACACTTAAAGAGCTTCCTTCCAGGTTTCAGTGACTTACTGTAGAGTTTTAACTTATTCTTCCAATGGTTCAAACTGGGTGTAATCTTAATGTATATACATGTATAAATGAAAAACTTCCCCAGTCCACATCCTTGTTTGAGATGCAAACACCAAATTTCACAATTTCCTTGTCACAAAATGTACAGTTATTTGCATCAAAATTAAATCTTAATGTTAAGAATTTGTTTAGGATTTTGAAATTAAACCTATTTTATTTATTTATTTATTTATTATTTATTTATTCATTCCAATCTAAATGATTGGAAAGGAGCAGGATGAATTAAACTTATAATACCTGCCCCTTTCTTAAAGCATATAACTGCTTACATCAGATAAGTTGCCATTACAGCTATTATAGTAATAAACAGTTTACACGACAGTCAAAGAAAATAAACAAATCCAAAATCCATAAGTAAAACTATTTCATTACATGTTCTTATATAGCTTCTCTATTCTCTCCTTATACAACCTCTTAAACTTTTACCTTGGGAGGAAGTGGAAATGAAATATATATTCTCCTTATTTTCTTACCTTCTTCAACATCAAATCCCTTAAGAATATCTTTCTGAATATCCTTCTTACTGGGTTAGGGAAACATTGCATTTATTGGACAACTGCCAAAGTGTTAAATAGAGCCATAAGCAAAAGCGGAAGTACGCAAACGGGAACCATCTTGCATCGCTTGTAAATTTCCGTCATCAAATGTCCCGCCTTTTACTGAGAATCACGCATTCTATTGGTGGATAGACAAAAAAGGTGGACGCTGATTCGCTGTTTACCGCTGTCACTCAAGTCGCAGTCACCAAACACTTAGAGGGAAAGCGACAAACGTTATGTCAGGCAGGATGTCATGTAGGTCCTTGCTGTTTGTGTAGGTTACACTCACGTCACTTCAAAACCAGCACATTTAGTCGAAATTGTAGAGGAGTCGTAGCAACCTGCGTCGTTATTTTACGCGAAGAAAGACGAAAACCTGCGTAGTTTGTCAGTTGGACCTCTGCAACGGCCACCGTTAGCTTGAGGCCTAGCAGTTAGCTAACGTGACATTACACCGAGGTTTGCTGGGAAACTTCTCAGATGACACAGGCTTTCCACCGGTAAGTATATGACAGTGTTAGCAAAGAGCTAATACTCAACAAGTAGATACACAGTATGTATATTAGTATATTGTTTTGAGCAAACAGAGTTGTCATGTCACAACCCTACTGTATGTCTAAAGTCAACTCAGTGGCGAAACAGCTCCATTCAGCCAAGCATGTGCCCTGATCCAGAGTCTTCTGGCGAGGGCTGTGTTGTTTACACGGTTCCAGGTTATTGAGGGCGAATGCAGGTAGGTTGTCACATTGTTGTATCTCACTGCCTCTCTGTGTCTGCAGGTAAGTGTCCAGTGGAAAAACAAACCCCATCATCACAATGACAGCTCAGGAAGGAGAGGGATGGGGAGGCATTAGTATCCTTTAGCAAACATCTCCTCTGCATATGTAACAATGCTGAGTTGACACAGTGCATGTGTCATAAAGTACCACTGAAAGAAATAGTTGAGACTGATTTTGTTAAAATCTATTCATTTTTAAGCCATTTATCAAGCAAAAATGCCAAACATCCATAGTTCCAGATCAAATATGAGAACATCCTGCTTTTTTCTGGTTTATATCTTTATAAATTTGGTTTTTGGACTGTTAACCGGGCCAAACACTGACCTTGACATCTTGACTGTATTTTTTGGCATTTTGTAGACTTTATACACAGTTGAGTAATGAAAATAACCCTTAGTTGCAGTCTTAGTATGTCTAGCATATTCATACGTAATGAAAAAGGGCAGCACAGCAAAAACGTAAAACTACTTCTAAAGGCAAACTTACAAATGTGTTGCATCTCTTACACCATTATGTAACAGTAATTGTTACATAGAAGCTCCTGAATCAGTGCTCCTCTTGTTTGTGGATTTTCAGTATTGCCGCAGTGGTTCAGTAAGCCCTTAACTCAGCATGCACTCCGACCTGTCACCTCACCTGCACACAGATGAGTGTAACGAACTGATAACTCGCCTGAGGCAGTGCCACGCAGAGGTACGTCACTCTCTAAATGATTTGATTGCTGGGTGCTAATTATGCTCAGAAAATAACAATGTAAATCTTGTTTCATGTTCTCCTCAGCACAGTGTCATGAAGTTCTTCGGCACGTGTAATGATGCGGACCGTGCTATGCGTAAGTGCCTGAAGAAAGAGGTGTGTCGGTTATTTCTATGTACCTTGTGAATGAGATGCAACAAGCTCTCTAAGCCCTTCTGTTTTTTCAATCAATATTTTCTTTGTTTCCTCACCATTCAACAGAGACTGGAAAAGCGGGAGCGCAGCAAGCAGCATGCACAGGAGATGAGAAAGAGGCTGAAAGAAGGGTCCAAAGAGCAGCTCTGAAGGACATCTTACTGCAACTTTGCCACTGGCACTGCGAGTTAAAACTACTCAGATAATGGGACACTGACTTAATTATGACACTGCTCAGCCTGCACTGCTCTTTTGATGTTAAGACAGAGGAAGAGTTATAACTTCTGTTTTATTATATTGGCACTGACAGGTCTAAGAGTCATGTGCTGTTCTTCCTAGTGTAATCACTGTTTTGACATTAGCAGAGAGAAACATGAGTAAGAGGCAAAGTTATTTAAATGTTGGGATCATATACCAGCGATGACGTGGTACAGATGCACAGCTCACTCTTACATTTCCTGTGACGTGAACCCTTCTAACACTTTTAACTGTTTTATCATCTGCACAGACTGAAACTTGCAGTGTTACCAGAACATTTTAAGTCAACACAAAAACAACAGCATTCGGTCCTTTGGATTAAAGATTGCTGTCGGGGATCATCATTTATTTCCCCCTCTGTTAGCAGAACAGCTCCAGCTCCATCAAAGAGATTAGTGTGGCTGCTGGCACAAGCTTTTCATCAAACCATTATTTAAGTTGGCAGGACACCTCAGGAATATTCTGGTGCCTGTTTTATTCATGAAAACAGGGAAAGTCAATTTCAGGGTATCAGAGGAGCATGGAAAAAGAAAGACCCAAAACAGGATGACCAGTGGCTTTGTTTTACTCTCAATGTGAACATACACTCATGAACACACTCATCATTGTATGAAAGTTTATTTGAATGAGGAATCATAGTGATTCATTACAAGTTTGATTGGTTTCAAATAAAGTGAAATTGTGAGTTACTTTAAGAAACCATGCTTTGATATACTGTGTTATTATTGTAAAACAAAATATCAATCAGTATCTGCAGGTTTTCCTCAAAGTATTTCCTCAAAAAGGCCTTAGAGGAAAGTAAAAAGTCTTAAATATTTCTCTTGCCTGTCGTAGGCAGCAATAATGGTTATAAAATGTTGTATAATCTTAAAGTGGAATTCTGCAACAGTGGATTGTGCATTCAATATAGCGAGTATTGTCACTGATGCTAGCTGTAGTGGCTAGGAAGTTTATGTCTCTTAATAATGGGCATCTGTTTTTGCAGAAAAATGTAATTAAATAATTCTAGCAATTACTTAACACTTGGACTGGTATGACTGCTACACAGGTATTAAATCAAATTCTATGCCCTTAGAATGTCATAACCCTAACCCTAACCACAACCCCATAACTTGTCGAATCTGAGCTGAAAGGTTCAGTTATTAACATTTCATAGAGATTTCAGCTGCATCCTCTGGTCCGCATTCAGCAACTTGAGCTGCCAAAGGTTTCATCATGTCACCTTGTGTCACGTGTGGTCATATAACCCCTCTCTTTGTCTAAGGATGGTCTCCTCCATCATTCTTTGGCTGTCTGCTGGCTCCTGATCGATGACCATGTGTTCACATGACTGAAAGTTCACATTCAGGTCATGAAATCACAACTTAGCCATCTCGATGCGCTGAGTAAAGACAATGAGATGCTGTTGAGGGCTTAGAAAAGCTTGGATCCTCTGCAACATATAGGGTATTCTTTGTTGTTTTTATTTCTGGGTAGGCTACAGAAATAATCTTAGCAGGCCTGTTTCTTCAGCGAGGGCTCTTATTTTCTCACACACAACACAGGAAATGGCAGGTACCTGTCTGTCCAACAACTGAGCTGAGTTCAAAGAAAACATCACTGAAAGATGTGACCAGGAAACAGCTCAGAATAAGAGCTCACATCCTATGTATCAAAATAGGGTTTTGTTAGATACAGTATTGCAGGGGGCAAAATGGGGGAGTTATGTCCAAAAAAAATTAAGCACTGAGGAGGGACTTATGTTTTTTTGTATTTTGGCTTAGGGGATAGACATACAACTTTAAATTATTGTATTTTGTATTTATTCTAAATACCCTCTGAACCCCAAAACCCAGTCTCGCCACTAAAAACAGGAATTATCATTGGATTTTCAAATTTCCAAAGGTCCTTAAACACATCGTGCACAACTAAAGTCACTTAGGAACATAACCAAATGGTAATATTGTTTGTTTTGGTAATAACTTCTGCTTCAGTGCTGTTTCTCCAGTGCATTACCTACATTTTGTGCGAATATTTAAAAGATATAGTCATGTACAGTGGAGAGAGGCTCACACATTTTCGATTAAATATATGTAGCTTTGGGTAGGGTAAAAGTCACACCCCAGCCTCCTCAGATAAGTATAGAACACTCCCTTAGTCCTTTTGTGCTTAAGGAAATGTAAAAGAAAAACCACATTGTGAAAGTACTATGTCTTTATTTGAAGCAGCTGACTCACAAAGTATGGATCAATCTTTGACAGATATTTAAACTGTAAGGCACCCTAAGGTGTGCTTTGAGACAGCGTGGGGAGAAAAAAAGCATGAATGATGAAACACACACTTACATGGGACCATACATGATACTGTGATTTTAACAGATGAAACACCAAAACCAGCCTAAAATGTAGACATAATGAAGCAAATATGTAGTTTTTTTTTCTTAGTAAAAACATATTAATTTAAATTTTATTATAAAGCAGACGTCAAAGATATGCCGTGATGGGAATTTGGATGCAATGTCTAAAAGAGAAACTCAGTTCAAAACAAGTATAGAAATGCCTTTAATATCTCAGGTGACACGCTGAAAAGAATTTGTAGTATTTTACAAAATAAAATAAATACATAAAGACCCATGTCTTAAAGGATCAGTGTGATTTGCATTCAGGAGAAACATTAGACAGATCCTTACCTCATCTTGTGACCCTAAAGCCAAGAGGAGACGAGGAACACTAACTATTATTTACCAGCAGACAAGGACGAGGAAGTGATTGTACAGGTGGAAGTAAGGAAAGAAGAAAAATCACAATCAATGACAACTGATTGATCATTTAAGCCTCAGTGAGTCTTTGGTCACTAAACTGCCGAACTGCCTTTCTGTAGCTGATTATATATCTGGCAAATTTACGTAAAAGGATAAACTCAGGTGCACTTAAATAAATCTACAGTTTTATGAGCATAAAGGAATACTTTACCCACAAAATTATCATCTGTATATCAATTAGTCACGCCTTGTTACCTTAAAACTATGAAGAAAACTGTATTATTCTCACACACCTCCACAAAATATGGCAAACATTTTGAGCAATTAATTGGGGACCACCATCAACAAAACTATATAAAAGAAAATTTGTTAAAAAAAAAAAAACTCAAACAGGTCATGCTGTATAATTCAAGTCTAATTTATCCAGCCATATGCCCAGTACTTCCCAAACACATGCATTTTTGCTAAAATCTTAGAATATAAAATTGAACAGAAAGTAACAGAAACATATCTTTGTCCTCTTCAAAGTCAGGCTCCAATACAAAGGATTTTTAGTGAAAATGCATGTGATGGGGAAATTTACGCCCGGTCTCACTCTGAAGTCGTTGAAATTTGGCACTTGGGCGGTGACTTGGGTCATCAGAAACCAATAGAAAAAGGCGTCCTTTAAGGTCGGCATGATGCACAGCTGGTTGCTGTAATAGTTTAACTGGGCCCGGCGGCATCAGGGGGAAACACGCGGGACAAGACAAAAGTTAAAGGAAATGGCCACTTTAGAATGAAAATACAGACAGTACTTACTCACCCTCATGCTGACAAGAAGTCCAGTATGGTTTTTTAATCCACAGAACTCGTTCAGGGTATCGGAGGATAACAGCTAGCCGGATTTTTCCATACATTTGAAGTGCATGGAACCCACGTCCAAAATCATTTTGAAAATGTAATAAAACTCTGCTAATGCATTTCAAAAACATCAGAACGGCTCGTCCGTCATAATCCAAGTGCCCTGAAGCTGCGGCATGCAAAATTGACTTGAAAAGATGTAATTTACTCAACTTTTATAGCATCATTTCTCACCGTGGTCAGTTAGCCTGCCCTGCAGGAGTGCTGTGTTTACATGGCAACTCGCGCGAGACTCGAGAACCTTCAGACGTTCTTGTTTGGATGTGGGTTCCATGCACTTAAAGTGTATGGAAAACTCCGGCTAGCTGTTATCCTCCGATACCCCGAACGAGTTTTGTGGATTAAAAAACTACACTGGACTTCTTGTCTGCATGAGGGTGAGTAAGTACTGTCTGTATTGGCCATTTCCTTTAAGGTGGCCAAAGTGCGTGTGTGGTGTTCACGTCCTGTAAGATTCTAAAGCCAAACCCTGTTCTTTTTTCCTAAACCTTACCATGTGTTTTTGTTGCTTAAACCCAACCATGTGCATTAGTTGTTGAAGGAAAATTTGTAGTGTTATACCGACATAGTGTGTTTATTTTGAAAGAGACTATGTTAACAGTTAATTTCCTGTGAAAATGGAAGTGTATTTTGAAAGAAGACGATGCATGTAACAGGCAGAACTTGACACGGCGTCCCAGAACATCAGCAACCAATGTACCCAGGGTACCTTGCATGTCGTACGTGGAAAGTCCATGACCAAAAGTCGATATGTGATGAGGCCGGAGTGAGAATGTGCCGGAAACATTGAGCTTACAACCGGATAAATGAGACTTGAATTATACTGCATGAGTTGTGTGAGAGTTGCTGTTGTTAAATAAGGTCCCCAATCAATCAATGAGTCAATGTTTGCCACTTTCTTAACAAATTCAAGGTAACACAGCATGAGTAACGAATTTACAAATGGTCATCATGTGGGTGAAGTATTCCTTTAAGTTTTGTTTTTTTTTTAATTATAGTAGTTTTTAAATAATTCATCAAACTATTAATCATACCCTGTAGTTAAATACAACAGATGACTGAAAATCAGTAAACAACACCATGGAACACTGACACTGAGTCTTATATACTTGAAATTGACAAATCTGAAATACAATAAAGATCATTTTATTGATCATCCATTCATACCTATACATATATATATATATAAATTATCTGACATGACTTTGATAATTTATGACAAAATAATTCATCTGTTAATGTCAGCTCAAGAGGTAAACATTCACGTGGGAATAGTGTTTACAGATTTTGAATTTGAAACTATATATGTATAAATGATCTGCCCCATTTTCTTCTTTAAAGTTTTTACGGAATAATTTAGAAAGAGTGATTGACAGAGTCGTGTGGGCGTCTGGAGCAAAGGAGACAACGGCAATGGCACTGCACATCCAAACAGTTATCTCAAATAAATACAAAAATAAACTGCACCATTTCTAACAATACTTACAATGTTTATACAAAAACATACCCTGAAATACCAGGTACTTCCACAGGCAACACATTCATATGTACAGTATATTACATGCAAATAGTTACACAAACAGTCCACATCATCTATATATTATCCTGTGCTGCATGTGTACCACTGCAAAAATGGACAAATATCTTCTGAGTTTTACAAAACAATTCTCACAGACCTACTTTTATTTTTTGGTAAAACAAAATAGATCCCTACATATAATACACATCGCGATATATAAAATGTCTGGAAATCTTGAATCATCACATGCAGGTAAGGACAAAGTCGACTCCGGCTACACGACTGTTGCATTTCCACGATATATAGATCACTGACAATTAGTGTAGTCACAACATGATTAACTGGAGGACCAACAATTATCATCTCTTTTTGTGTGCTCGCAAAAAAATACACAGCTAAGAAATGACTGTCGGGAAATATCAACATGATGATCACGCGTTTCACACAATAACTGGAAGCCATGTTGTACAGATGAACCACCACAGTACTGCATGTGTATGTAGCTCTAACTAAAGGGGATCAAATCCATGTGCCACCAGTTC